GAGAGAGAGAGAGAGAGAGAGAGAGAGAGAGAGAGAGAAGAGAGAATTGTTGGGGAAGACCCTCTTCCTGTCTTCTGCACCCCACTACCTCCCTTACCTGCCCCCTCCCCTTCAGTCATTCTCAGTCGGGGCCCAGATTCAACGCAAGTGCCCATCCCTCCCTCGGTTTCTGCTTGCCTTCTGCGTCCATCATCTCTTCCGTCTCTGGCCCTCCCAGTTTCTGTTTCTTGTCCTTCTGTTCCTCTCCAGCGGCTTTCTCTAACCCCTGCCTCTCTGAGCCTGCCCCTCTCTGTCTCCTTCCAAGGAAACTACCACTCTCCGTTGTCCCAAGGAAACTCCCTAAGCCAGCCCAGCACCCTGCAACACCTGCCAGCCAGCCCCCACCTCCTCTCTCCCCGTGCCCTTGGTCCCTTAAGTGGGTGGCTCCACCCCAAGGAGCCCCCTTTACTCACCCTTAGGGGCCGCACACCCCCAGCAGCACAGCACCAAGCACCAGGCCAGCGGGACCCTGCCCATCCTTGGGGACACCACTGCGGCAATCGATGCCAAACTTTCTTCAGAAGTTGCTGGGCACCTCGCTCAGGAAGGGGGCAGGGCCGGGTTGTCCCCGGCCCTCCCCCCAGCTTCGGGCTCCCAGGATTTGGCACTGCCCGCCTGGCACAGCGGGAGCCCCTCCGCTGGCTCAACTCCTCCGCAGCAGCTCGCCGCCTTCCCGGCTACCCTGCCTCCTTCTCTCCCTCCCAGACTTCTTTCCCCGCCTTCAGCTCCCCCTCTGCCTCCGCCCATCTGGGCGGGAGCCCAGGGGCCACCAGGACTTCGAGGGGTTAACTAGGAGAGGAGAGTACAGGATCAGCCTTGTTTTAAAGGGGCCTTGGCGCCTTGTAAGGAGGATGGGGAGGGGGAAGGGGACCGAGGCGCTGAGCCTGATCCTGGGCCCTGAGTTAGGAGGCTGGGCGCTGTCCCTCTGGGCTCTCTCAGGGTCTGGTAAACATTCCTGTAGAACTTCCACCCCTTTCAGCCCAAAACGCCCCCTTCACAGCCTCCACCCCCATCCCAGCCGCAGCCAGGCCTCCCTTGACTCCCCCTCACACTCGGGGCTGCTTGGACAAGGACACACACGTGCACACACGGCAAACACACACACACACACACACACACACAAACACACACACACACACACACACACACACTCTCACACCTCAGATGGCATTGATACAGCTGGGACAGGTAGAGACACGCAGAGGCATGCTGCCTGCCCACAGCTCTCCTTGGATGATCTGGGTCAGGAGCTTGCCTGCTGAAGTGTCACAAATGGAAGGTTGCTACTCGGTGGGCATCCTTGGGGTACACTCATCTGGGACATCGATGTTCACACCCACCCAAACTCACTCGGACATAGAAGCGGGAAGCCAGGGGTGACTGCAGAATGGAGTTGGAATTCCAGCTGTACCCCCTAACTTTGGGACCATAGGGGGTGGGCAAGTACCTGTCTTCCCATGCCTCAATATGTCTAGCTGTAAGATGGGGACAAGGACAGGCCCTGCTGATGTAGCAGGCTAGTGGGAGGATGATCTAGGTCAAAGCACAGTGCACTCCCTTGCACTAACACAGATGACAAGGTGCCTGGGACTTTGGGCATCTCTCAGAACTTGTGCTGCTAGCTCCCTCCCTCTGGGAAGAACTGAGGATCAGGGTCTGTGTACTGGCTCTGTTGCATGTCCACTCCTGTGCCCCTGGGCGTCTGACATAGAGGGCTCCAGGTCTGGGCATGTTCAAGGAGCCATTCAGCATCTAACCTCTCTTCTCTATTGATCAGATCATTGATCTGCTCTGACTTTGGTTTCATCTCCTGGTGTTTCTACCCCCATCCCCTTCTCTACAGCCCCTCCTCTCTTGCCCTACTTCCATTTTACCTCCCTTCAATCCATCTTCAGTTTAAGAACCAGGGGACTACTTCTGAGACACCACCCCTCCCAGTTTAACCTTGTCTGTCCTGACATCCATGACTTCCCACTGCCCTAGGGATGAACTCCTAGCTCATCAACTGGCCACTCAGGGTCCTAACCTTAACCACAGTCTTAGCCCTTCCTGTAGCTTCCTTGGACTGTCACTTGTGTTCCACTTCCATGATGGTCTCAGTATCCAACCTGCTACCCTATCTGAGCCTTGGAGATCCTCCTGAACACCCCCATGAGGATGTTATAAAGTTATAAAGTTCCATGGAGGACTCAGCTTTACAAACCTAGCCTTCATATCTCCCCACAACCTCACTCTGGTCCAGTGCTGTCCTTAAGCACCTGGATCCCAGCTGGGGTTTTCTCTCTGGGTGGTCTGAGTCTATTCTTTCCTCCAATGTGTGTCCCACTTAGCAACCACAGGGATGTTTCCTAATACCACATCTAACCCTTCTCTTCCTTGTCCCTAGCATGCATCCTTCCCCATCTCCCCCTCTCTCCTCTCTTCCTCTGCTTGCCACTGAGCTGTGTCCTCACCTTCTGCCCCAGCCTTTCAGACAAAGACAACCCATCTCCCCCTCTCTCCTCTCTTCCTCTGCCTGCCACTGAGCTGTGTCCTCACCTTCTGCCCCAGCCTTTCACACAAAGACAAAGCTTCTTACAGGTACCCCTCATATTCACTTGACCTTGTCCTCCACTTCCTAGGAAGCTTTCCCTTTCTCACCCAAAGAACCTCCTTATAGGTATTGGAGCACCCTTCTGTAGCCCTTTGTCCTAAACTCCTGCACTCAACCACATCTGTATCATCACCTTATTTCCTAGTCCCTTCTAGTCTAACCTAGCTCCACCCCACCATGTTCACTCTCAACACCTTTTTTTTTGAGGTGGAGTCTCACTATATTGCCAAGTCTGGTCTTAAAACTCACATTCCTCCTGCTTCAGCTTCCAGAGTGCAGGGATGACAGGCATGTGCCACCATGCCTGGATCATCCTGTCCTTTTCTTTAGGAACACTTTGCATGGGTTGTCACTATGGTTTTATGTCCCATGCTTGTCTCCTCTCTCTGATCTGTGGGTTCTGGAAGGACAGAGACTGGGGGTGGCTCATAAAATGCTAGACATACGGGGAACAATCTACAATGATGGCATTTTTAGGGTACAGAAGTCCATCCCAGGGCTGGGTAGGTGGCTCGCTCAGTGGGTAAATTGCTTGCTGTACAAGCATGGACACCTGACTTCAGATCTCCAGGACCCACATGAAAGCCAGGTGTTGTGGTGAGTTCCTGTAACCCAACATTAGGGGAGCCAGAGATGGTGGGTCTCTGGGGCTCACTGGTCAGCCAGGTTAGCTAAAACTGTGAACTCCAGGTTTAGTGAGAGACCCTGTCTCAAAAAATAAGGTGCAAAGAGATAGAGGAAGTTATCTGACGTCACCCTCTGGCCTCCTGACATCACCCTCTGGCCTCCTTATGCGCACACAGGGACATGTGCAGCTGCGTACACGGGGGCAGGAGAATCTGCACACACGCATATAACACACACACACACACACACACCACAATTAAAATATAAGTCTACCCCTTTGTACAGATACATCGAGGGTCTGTTCGCCTGCAGCTCAGTGGATCCAAAGGGAGGTAACATAGAAAACTTAAACCTGTGGAGTCATTCACTCAAGAACTTGAGCAGCTGAGGCAAGAAGATTGCAAGTTCAAGGCCAGCCTGGGCTACAGAGTGAAACTCTGACAAAAGCAAACAATCAAGAAATGACCTATGGGGGCTGGAGAGAGGGCTCAGGAGCTGGGAACACTTGTAGTTCTTCTGAAGACCCAGGTTCAGTTCCCAGCAACCACATAGCAGCTAACAACCCTCCATAACTCCTGTTCCAGGGGATTCGATGCCCTCTTGTGGTCTCTCTGGGCATTGTATGTGTGTGGTGCACTTACCTACATTCAGGCAAAACACTCATATGCATAAAATAAAAATAATAGTCAGGCATGGTGGCGCACACCTTTAATCCCAGCCCTCGGGAGGCAGAGGCAGGCAGATCTCTGTGAGTTCAAGGCCAGCCTGGTCTACATAGTGAGTTCCAGGACAGCTGGGGCTACAGGGAGACCCTGTCTCAAAAAGACCAAACAAACAAACAAACAAACAAACAAAAAAACCAAAACTATCCAACAAACCAAAAAAATACCCCCCCCAAAAAAAAACAAAAAGAAAAAAGAAACAGAAGTACTGGCCAGGTGTAGTAGTGCACACCTACAATCCAGCACTTGGGAGGTAGAGGCAGGAGCTCCAGAAGTTCAAGGTCATCCTTGGCCCCATAGCAAGACTGGGGCCAGCCTGGCACTGTATCAGCAACAGCAACAAGAAAATATTTGCTGAGCACCCGTTATGTGTCTGCGGTTTAACTTGAATTGCATTTTAGAAAATGAAGGACAGAAATGTCTCTTGAACTCAGAGTTGAGAGCAAGGCAAGTCTATTTCCTCAAAGACTTCCCACTCTTTTGAAAATATATTTATAATTAAAAAAAAAGTAAACTTCTCTATGGGGCTGGAGAGATGACTCAAAGGTTAAGAACACTGTTCTTGCAGAAGACCAGGGTTCAAATCCCAGCACCCACATGGCAGCTAACAACTGTCTGTAACTCCAGTTCCAGGGGATCTGACAGCCTCTTCTGTCCTCCACAGGCATTGCACGACATGGGTGCACTTACCTACATGCAGGCAATACACTCATATGCATAAAATAAAAATAATTAAAAATATATTTATTTATTTTGTGTGTATGAGTGTTTTGCCTGTATGTATGTAAGTGCACCGTGTGTGTGCAATGTCCACAGAGGCCAGAGAGGGCATCATATCCCCTGGGACTGGAGTTATAGACGGTTGTTAGCCCTAGCCATGTGGGTGCTGGGAATAGAACCTGGGTCCTCTGAAAAGCAGCCAGTGCTCTTATCTGCTGAGTCATCTCTCTAGCCCCAGGAGCTCTCATTATATTTATTTTTGTTTTATGTGTATGAATGTTTTGTCTGCATGTATGTAAGTGCACCCATGCCATGCAATGCCTATGGAGACCAAAAGAGGGCTTCAGATCTCCTGGAACGGATCTGGACTTATAGTTGTTAGCTGCCATGTGAGTGCTGGGAACTGAACCCAGCAAGCGATCTTAACTGCTGAGCCATCTCTCCAGCCCCAGGAGCTCTCATCCTTAAGAGACAGAAAAAGCAATCATAAAAATAATCATGAGGAGGTAAGTTGGACCTTGAGGGAACACAGAGCAGGAAAGGGAACAGCAAGGTGTGGATGTGCTATATTCAGAGCTTAGAGTTAAGGAGGGCCTCTCTGAGGTTAACATGGAGGGCTGAGGAAAATCAGCAAGTAAGCCATGTGGGAAGAGCATTCCAGGCAGAGGGAACAGTCAGTGCAAAGGCCCAGAGGCAGGCATGAGGAACTCTGGGGGCACCATTTATGCTTGGAATGAATGTGGACTGGGCAAAGGTAGGTAAAATAGGGATGAGTCTTGGTTCAGGGAGGATCTTGGTCTTTATTCTATGGTGAGAGGCTGAAGGGCTTTGGGCAGGAGAGATCGGATTTGATCTGGTTTTATTTAACTATTGGTATTCAGTGCTGGGAATTGGATCTGGGACCTTGTGCAATCATGCCAGTAAATTCATATTAGACAAGAGCTATATGGCTGAGCTAAGCCCCCAGTCCCTCACTGGCGATTTCTAGACAAGTGCTCTGCTGCTAATCTGCATCCTCAGTTCTTGGTTTTTTGAAACAAGGTCTTGCTTTGCAGTCTGGGCTGGCTT